TCAGTGTGTTCCCAGTTGCTCCCACTAAGAGCCGAGTCACACCCAGAATTCTCCCAGTTGCTTCCAGCATGATCCCAGTTGGACACAGACACTCTCGGGCACTCACAGTGACACTTCATGAGAACTGAAACTGTTTCTGTTCTGAGCGTGCACGCACCTTAAGTAGAGCCTGAAATCTGTGTCTAAAGGAGGAAATTGTTGATCGCCATGGTCTGTCTGCAGGATACAGGCACAAAGGGGAGATGAAAGCCAGCACCAGGGTGGTCTTACAGGGTTGCAATTTAAATGTGTGTGAATAGAATATGCTGAAGAACACATTTTTGGAAGTGTGCCTTTCTGCCTTGTGATTATAAATTACATGATGAGGTATCTAGTAGTAGCCATATGGCTCAGTAGTAGCAATATGGCTGGTGTGGTCTTCTGAAAGAGAATTCTGAAGCAAAAGTAATTGCAAGCAGCAGCATAGCTCTTCAAGCATTTATAGTGGATTTGGAATCACTGTGCAAACTTTTGCATAAATCTCAACACAGGGGAAATACTTCTTTAAAAATGTAGAAGGAAAGGAAAGGAAAGCAAAAAATAGATTGTTTTGGAAGAATTCTACATTTGACATGAATTTCTGAAATTTGTTTTAAACTATATGGCCAGAGTTTGAAAACCTCATTTTCAGATGTCTGTGGTAAAATATTTACAGTGCTATCCTGATTTTCGTGAAAAGCTGAATTTGTCTGGTAATTGAGGAATCATTGAAATGACACAAGTTGGAGAAACAATCCAGTCATTGTAAACTGTATCATCAAAAATTAAAAATCCTAGCTTAAAAACAAAATACTAACATCCAGAATTTATTTTTTAAAAAAATCCTTCTAAGTTGTTCTCGCTTGAATGTTCAGACTGCAATGTTAGAGAGTGTCTAATTCATTCTTGAAATTGCAAGTAGAACTTATTTATGTAATTATGCAGAGTAATAGCCTTACTGATGGACAAGAATATTATTGTATCATGTAATGCATAAGGGGAAACAAACAAATTTGCTAGTCAAATTGGTTTTCCATCTAAGACAGAAACAAAAGAAAACAGGTAAGTGATTCAAGAGGAATACAATGAGATTGTGTCACTCTACAGTCTGAAGAGTGCTATTAGTACATTTGTGAGTCTAATTGATGAGCCTAACTGCCTATCAATGGGCTCTGTGTGTCTAAATGTCTGCATGTAGATAAGATACACCACATGTATAAATCCCAGCGAATCAGAAATCGCTATGACAGAATTGTGGAAGATTGATTAATCAGGCCAGTTTCAAACTTAAAACCAAAACTTTACTGCATAAATATTAATTAACAATATACATTGCTAATGTTTAGTTATTAATAATTATTAAACAATATTACTACATATTCAAAGCAGTTAGCCCTTAACAGTCATCCTATATTAGCAAATAATACACAGTATCACAGAGCTGATGCCATACAATTAGCACCAATTGATACAGTCCTTGAGAGTCGTAGTCAGAGCTCTTCAATGAAGGACACTAACACCGACAAGGATGCCTTCCTTCCCACTCCTTCAAGTTCAAATCCAGGATTTTCACCTTTTATAAAATATTGCAATCTTTAGAGAGTTCTTAGCCCTTGATCTCTGACCCCTAGGACTTTGGGAGACTTGCAGATAGTACTTTTCCAAGCTGCAGCAGGTGCCTTGTCTTGCCTATCAGTTGTTGGGTTTTTTCTTACCTGCTGTTTCTATTCTGTGTTACATTTCAAGCAGTCTTTTTCCACCTCAGAAGGTTGCAACTCTTCAATGATCAGTAGTTGACCACCAGTAAGGTACTTATAGCTCTGGGGCCTTCGTTCTCAGCCCGTGCCCATATTTTCAAGACCTTTGCTGACATCCCAGTCATCCCCCAACTCCACATCATAACAAGAGACATCTGGTATCAGACCTCAGCTGACCTTGTAAATTGGTAACAAGCCTGCTAGGCCAGGACTGGCTGTCCTACACAGGCACGGTGAGGATAAGGCTTCAGGTTTGTTTCTGATAATAGCAAAACTATTTTTAATGAGCATGAAAATGTTTCTGGGTTGCTTACCAGCTATGTCTGATTAATGTGATTTTTGACAGAGTTCAAAGCAAGCTAATATTAATTACATTTGGCTTAGCATGCTTCTACTTTCATGAGTGCAATAGGCCTCTGCTTTGGCCACATAGTAAAGCGGTTTGAATAATGGAAACTAGTAGTGAGAAACTGGTACATATTTAACTGATATTTCTTGAGTTTGTATGACTTATGGAAGGAAGAAAACCAAAAGTATCAAGACTGACTGTTGTTATTGAAATAATTACAGTGACAAAAGTAGATACAGTGACAATTCAGAAATAACTACTGCCTTTAATTTACATTTTGAACATTGACCAGAGAATAGTAGATGCCTTTTTCAGCGAGAAGCTGCTGATGGGTGCCTTGCTCTACAACCTTGCCATTCTGGACCACTGCAATCTTGTCAGCATTTTGGATGGTGGAAAGGCGGTGAGCTATCACAATGCAGGTACGACCTTTTCTGGCTTTATCCAGTGCTTCCTGAACAATCTGCACAACGAACAAACAAAAAGGTGAACAGGCAGCAGTTGTGAAATATACCTCAATCTATGAAGTAAACTGTAATATGACAGTGAGAGAAAGGGAATATCAGTTGCTTTAGCTTCCTGATTTAGAATTAGCCCGTGTTGGCAAAGAGTCAAAACTGTTATAGTAGATGATGTCGTGATAGTTAAGAGGATTAGGTGGAACCAGGCTCATTACTGAGATGCATGGCAGGAGAACAAGAGAAAATGGTCATAAAATGTAATAGGAGATGTTCTGACTGGATGTAAAAAAAAGTATTTATTGCAAGGAATAAAAAGTATTTATTGCAAGCACTGGGACAAAAGAATCTCTGCTGAATCTCCTTGGAGATTTTCAGGGACCCTACTGGACAAAGCATTAAGCAATCTAAGCTTGAAGCTGGTATTGACCCTTAAGAGGAGGTTTATTTGGGGAGCTCCATAGGTCACTTTCATGACTGATGAATTACATAGGGGAGTTAAGGCAGTATTCTTGGATCAACTGCTATCATACTAGTTCTCATGATTTCACAGGGAATCTCATGTTTTTCTTAAAGTTAGCACTGGCATAAAAATACTAGAAAGAATCTCTGCTTTCTTTTCTCTATTCCTTGTTTATTAATGCAGAGTAAATTAAGAGATGAAATTTCGATACCTAACTGGTACATAGTTAGAAAACAATGAATCATGGGATTACTTAATGGCTTTTTCCCTTCAGACCTCATTTTTATGCCTACAATTGATCAAAACTTAGTCCATAGGGTTTGAACTTTTCAGATTACAATTCTTTGATATAATATTTGCCTCATTAATAGTAAGCATTTTTTTAGACTCTGTGTTGATTTTCTACAGATAGATTGTACTTCTGTTGTACCAAGACTGCAGCTTTGGGCTTAAAAAAAGAAGTAGGTGTTCTAGGAATTATTACTGGAACTTATTGTATTAGCCATGAATATGTAGCAAGGACTAGAGAGCAATGGGAGAAAGAAGAAAACTTATAAAAGCAAGATTTGGCAGTTTTACAGAAAAAAATGTTCTCTAGCAGCATCCTCAGTCTATTTGGCTTCTACAGTTTGTGTGTCCTGATTCAATTTTAATAGCCATTTTTCAGTTGAAGCCTGAAGGCTTTCAAGCTAAGGAATGCCACCTTCATTGCAACTTCAATCTGTCTACTGCTGTACAAATGCAAAAAATACTTTTTTCTTTCTTTGTTTGTTTTTCAAGGAGGAGTAATATATTTATATTTGTATATTATTAGCATAAATGTATAATTTGCATAAGACACCATATTTCCAGCTTTTGGCTTTAATCCATGGGTGTAAAAAACAATACTATTAATAATACAAAAAAAAAACCAACAAAAAAACCCAAGTAAAACATGGAGGGGATATTTACATTCCAGACTCATGTCTCACACTCAAGTTACCTTTTCACTTTCTGTGTCTAAGGCAGAAGTAGCTTCATCCAGTAGCAGAATTTGGGGCTGACGTACAAGAGCTCGGGCAATAGCAATACGTTGTTTCTGGCCACCAGAAAGCTGCGTTCCCTTGTCTCCTACACAGGTATTGTATTTCTGGAAATGATATATTAAGTTCAGGCTATGAATGCAAATTGATTCTGAAGTGTATTGAAGCATATCAACCCTGATGCCAGACACCCATAAACTGCATATTCCATGCCAGTAGCTCTCTGAAAACAACTGACCAGAACTGCTGTTGGCCACAGATCTATACATCTTTCACTAGGAACCTTCTTTGTAGCATCAAGCATTTCATAAATTCAAAATAACAACCCCTCTAAGGTTGGCAACATTATTCTCAATCTGGAGACAGAACACTAAAGGTCAGTGAAAGTCCATGGTGATACTGGGGATCAAACTCTGACTTTAAACACTCCAAGCTAGTGCCCAAAGCAGTCAGTTATTCTAACCCACTTTTGTTTATCCTGGAAAAAAAAACCTCGTAAGATATATGAGTTTCAGGCCAAATTATATATCTATACAGTTCATGTGCATCTGTACTACAGTTCTAGACAATGATGTTTTAAATTTAATTATGTCAGTTAAGGCAGACCAGCTAGGCCTCTGGACAAAGCCATGTGCAGGTTACAGGAGTCCTTGAGATATTACACATTTGTTTGTAAAAAGCACCAAAGCTGTTTGAGGCATTGTTATATAATACAAGCTTTCTCTACAAAGTTTTGGAAAGAGCAGATCTTAATAAGTCATTAGAAAGTAAACATGATCTGCAAAAATCGTGTTCTTTGGTCTTTGTATTTTTGCCAAAAATACAAAATGCAGTTTGACAGTCTGAAACTAAGCCGAATATAAATAACATACAACTAAGCTACCAACCTCCTTGCTTCAGAAACTTTTGAATACAAGTTGATGTAGATTAGAAACTGATTTATCAAACACGCAGAAGAAATAATAAAATATGATTTCTATCTTAGGAAGTTCCCAAGTCAAAAATTATGCAAATGTGAGAATTCAGGGGAAATGTGATTAAATATTTATCCTTTCTGAATACTTATTTGTAAATACGTCTTGCTGGTCACTGCATGGGACAAGATTTTGTGCATGGCAGACCTTTCACTGGACCCAAGGTGCTTATTCTTACATTATTATTTGTTGGTCAG